GATAATCTACATCTTTATTTAGCAATTTTTTTTTGCTTAATGATTTCTTTCTCGCATTTAATATTATATAAAGATTTATTTTTTTGACAATTAAAGCTTGTTTTTAGGACAGTCTTTTTGTGCTATTGTTTTATTTTTCTTGTATCTCTATTGTTGTTGTTGTTATTGTTGTTGTTTTTTTATAAAATCAGTGATTTTTGTTGTCTTTCTATAGAAGTGTGTACGTATATGATTATCTGTTTTGATAGAGTTTGTTTTTAGTTATTTCCAAAAATATTCAATGAATGTTTATAGTCAACTATTTTAGTAGAATGTTTTTGTTTTCCCGCTGTATTGATATAAAAACAATAATACACTTTTAAAGAATATTGTCTTTTTTTTTAATTTAATTTCCTCTTCATGATTTGGATACAAAAAGCTGAAATGCAGATTTGTGGGGTAGAAGAGTGATAAAATGAAATTTTCTTATTGTTCTTCCATTTGAGTGTCTAGAATTAAGAGACGTTTATAAAAAATAATATCTATGAGTAAACCATGATTGTTGAGTTGATGATGATTGTATGCAGAGTGAAACGATCTTTAAACGGGATGTTGTCTGTTTTAGATCTGTTTTTTGAAAATGGCGGACGATGAGGGTAATGACGATATGGGAGGAGACTCCGATGATGGAGACGAGGATGAATTTGATGAAGAAAATGACGACGGAGTACATATGGGCGGAATTCAAAATGGTGAACAAGGCGCTGGTGATCGAGCAACAACTGGAGGGGAATTGGGAGCCGGTGGTGAACGTATGGATTTAATAAATGATGATGAGATGGGTGGCGGAGGAAATTTACAACTACGTACAGATCCATCAAAACGTATAACAACACCATATATGACAAAATATGAACGTGCTCGAGTACTTGGCACTAGAGCATTACAAATAGCCATGTGTGCACCATTGATGGTTGAACCAGATGGTGAAACAGATCCACTGCAGATTGCTATGAGAGAATTAAAAGAGAAAAAAATACCTATGATCATACGACGATATTTGCCTGATGGAAGTTATGAAGATTGGAGTATTGATGAACTCGTTATTACAGATTAAACGTTGTTGCTGTTATTGTTGTTTTTTGTATAAAATTGTTCTTGATTGTTAATAATGAAACTGTCATTTCTTTGTTTTAATAAAAAAACAAATGACATTTTCATATCTTAGCATCGAACAAAGATATTAAGCAAAAGTCTAATAGAAACAAATTCATTTGAAAAATCTGTATTGATTGTGTTTTCTGTTATTTTTTTTATAGATCTATTTGTTTCGTTTCAACGATAAGAATTTTAGATCAACAATGGAAATAAATGAACAAAGTCTTGAGGCATTGGCAGCCTATTTAAAACAAACATTATCACCAAATACTGACGAAAGATCAAGCGGTAAGAAAAAAACTTTTCAGATTATTCAATTATAATAGAGAACCTTCTGCCATGTATGAGTGAATTTCATAACCAGTGTACCGTTGGTTGCGGAGAATGTTTTGCTTATAAAAGCTGTTCTGCTCAACCGATTTTAAATTTGTTTTTTTATTTTGTTTGTCCAGTAATGGTCATTCATTTGTGAGGAAAAGAACTCTCCATCTCAAGTGGGTGCTGAGATATAGATCAAACAAGAGCAAAGTTGGCTGTTTTTGGCACCATCTGGAGAAAGAATCAAATTTTTCTCTGATTTATTCAAACTAGTTCAAAAAGTTTTTCAGCGTTTCTTGTAGCCTGTAAAGTAGGTTTTCAGAATACGTACTTTGAATTTAAATAAAATCATATTTTGACTCTGGTTTTATCAAAAAGCTCTGTTTACAAACACTTGCAAAATTCTGTCCACAGAGATTAGAACTACATTAATATACCAATGACGAACCCCAAAAAAGTTTTAAAATAAACAGAAAGATAGACCGTACAAAGCTCTATAAAAAAGAAAATCTTTTCGAGTTTTTTATCCAATCGAAAATCAGGATGAAACATGTATTCAATCTGTTTTTTTGTATAAAATGTCCACGGAGATTTTGAAAATTGTTTGATCTATAACTACGGAACCGTTTATCCGTTAGAGCCGAACCCTTTACCCTTTTTTTCATTTGCTGTCCAGAATATTAATAAAAACGGCAACTCTCTAGCTTGCCTTGTTACAGAGAAAATCTCATTTTACATCGAAAATGTCCACCGAGATTTTTCTCCTAAAAAATGTTCATCGAGGTTGTCTTGTCTATATTTTGATCAAAATAACTTAAAATTCCAACTCCAAATCATACGATTCGTTGACATCCGGGCTATTCGTCTGACATCACAAAAGCTTATTAAGTCTACACGTTGTCTTTTATTTTAAGAAAGCGATAAGCGTTTTTCCTCTCGAAAATACCATTTTCTAAAGGCCATAGCGCTATGGTTTGGTACTTTTGAAAGCACTGTTTCACCACCAAAGGGCTAATCTTTTTCAATAAAAAAATTTCGATTTATATGTAACTTGACATGTTCTATCTGATGAGCATAGTAAGATTCGCCCCACTGAAACTTTTGTATAAAGTGGACGAATCTGTGTGAAAATACCTAGCACTACGGATTGGAGAGTTGTTCAAAATCATTGTATCGGAGCCTTCTCAAACTCTAAAGTATCAGGAAAATATTATGTTTATATATAATCAATATCGCTTTATCAAACGTACGACTCCGATTTTGTTCATTTGAAACTTTTTATTATTATGTTTTTTTTCTCAAACGGTACAATGGTTACGTAATTCACTCCTATATCTATTACAATTGTATGTTTATATATTTTTTACTGGTTTAGCTGAAAAAACCTTGAAACAAATTGAACGTAATGAAAAGTACAGTTTACTATTGTTGACATTATGTGATCGTGAACAAATATCAATGGATATTCGAAAAGCAGCTGCAATTATATTTAAAAATTTTATTAAACTTAATTGGCCATCGAGTGAAACATCGTCACTTATTACATTGAATGATCGTAATCAAATAAAACAACATATCATTGATTTAATGACAAAATCACCAGAACAAATTCAAAAACAATTGTCTGACTCTATATCGATTATTGGTCAAAATGATTTTCCCGATCAATGGCCAGAATTATTAGGCGTCATGTGTAAACAATTACACCCACCAATTGATTTTCATAAAGTTAATGGTGTTCTGAAAACGGCACATTCTCTCTTTAAGCGATATCGTTATGAAGCAAAATCAGATGAATTATGGACGGAAATTGCTCATGTACTAGAAAAATTTGCACCATCATTTACAGAATTTTTTAAAGTAAATAGAGTTTTAGTTATTTATTCTGTAGATTTCTTCAGATCGTTCTATAATATTTTTTTATTGTCTGTTTTTTATTAGTCGTTAATGGCCTATATACCTCAACAAGAAACAAATGCCACAGAAATAAAAATCATCTTTGACTCATTGTTTGTTATAACAAAAATATTTTATGATTTAAATGCACAGGTTTGTTTTATTATTTAAACTTGATCTAGTATTTTTTATCGTTATTTATATTTTCTAGGAATTACCTGATCATTTTGATGATAATAAAGATGTGTATCTGAATAATTTCTTATTATTATTAGCTTATGATAATCCATTACTTCGTTCAGATGTAAGGAGCATGCCGATGATATTGTTGTGTTTAGAAGTTAAAAAGAATCGTAATCTTAATTTTGTAAAAAAAAGAACATGTTTGTTGTTTGTTGCCATATTTTTTCAAAAAATAATTTTTTGTTAAAAAGACCAACGTTCTGTGATTTGTATTCGATAATTTTTTTCCTAGCAACTTCACCATGAATGTTCTTTGAACTGATGTAAATGATTTTCATTTTTTTAGGCGAATAATACTGGTGTACTTGAACAAGTAAAAACGGAAATCTGTCGTATTGTGGCTTTGTTTGCTGATAATTACAGTGATGATTTTAAACCATTTACTCAACAATTTGCATCAGCTATATGGTCCTTATTAACAAAATTAGATTCATCACCAGGTTATGATGATGTAAGTATCTCCTCTATTTCTTTTTACACTCGTTCATATTCTATTATTATTATTATTATTATTATTACTAGAAATAACCCGTGGAAAACCACGGACGCCCGGCATTTGTATATGTTGTAAGAATTCTCTATGTTGCAAGCTTTTGTAGAGTCAGAAAAACGGGCCATAAGTAGGGCGAGCGATGACTTCAAGTTTGAGCAAGGTGGTGCTTATGGTTCGCTCTAAAGGTTATGATCGAGTTTCTTGAATTAAAAACCATAAAAGCTTCAGTTTACTTTGCATGCAATTTTATTGAAATGAATTCAAAGTTGGAAGACTTCCTTAAAAACAACATTGCGGGTAAATTGGTGTTCATCTCGCAGCAGTTGTCCTTGTTGGGGGTTTGGTTGAATTCGCACTTTCACTTGCTGGGGATTTCTTGATCGTGACAATGCGACATAAAGCTGTCCATGCGAGAAAACGGCAGTTTTGAGATCGATTCCGACATGATCGAATGTCTGTCCCTGAGATTTGTTGATCGTTATTGCATAAGCCGGGATGATGGGGAATTGTTGACGTCGCAGAATGAAGGGCAGAGTAGTGTCGCTTGGCGCCAAGTCAATTCTTGGGATGAAAACAGTGTCACCACGATTGCATTTTGAGATGATTTCTGCAGTGATAAAGTTGCGATGAAGATCCCTTACGATCATTCGAGTACCGTTGCACAATCCCTTCTTTGGGGTTTGATGAGATTTGGCATCTGCAGCTCGTCGTCCTTGAGATTGCACAGGCGATTCCAAACGATGGCTGTGTTGATGAGACTTGGCATTTGCAGCTCGTCGTCCTTGAGATTGCAGAGGCGTTTCCAGTTGTTGTCTCTGTTGATGAGATTCGGCATCTGCTGCTTGCCGTGCTTGAGACTGCTCTGAAGTCTCTAATTGACGCTTCAGGCGTTTTGCTCCAGCTTCTTCTGTTCGAATTCTATCGAGAGTTCCTTGACTTTTATGCGGTTTCCATCTTTCCTTCCTTTCTCTGGCTAAACGACGCTTTCGCGCTCCCGGATCTTCGTTTTCATCCATGGTTTTCAATTTAAAATATATTTAACAGCGATGATGCGATGTTGATTTCGATTGAAACTCAATGAAATTACCGAAATTTTAATGATTTCTCCTTTGCTGGCTGTAAAACGTTGACCGGAACGCTTTTCGGTTTGTTTGCGACGCACTGGAAATCAAAATTTCTGTTTACATGCGATGTTCCAACGAAAACTTGCACAAACTTACGAAGTTTTTGTAATTTTTCCTTTACTGGATCTTCAGTGACGCTCTGGAAAGCACAATTTCTATTTACATTCGAAAATCCATCGAAAAGGTTATTGATCTTACCAAACTTCAGTGAATTTTTGCAGATAATAAAGTGCTTCAAAGAAAATTGATGCCCGGAGATTGCTCAACATTTGTTTTATTACCGCTTTAATTAAAAACTGTTTTTTTGGGTTTTACCCAATAGACGGCGCTGTTTAGTGTCTTGGGAGCGTTCCGGACAGACGGACGGACAAATATATCTTGACTATTCTTATGCATATAACTCATTTGTAACACTGGATTTGAGCTCAGCACCCTCGATTACCTTCGGACAACCCTTATCCGGAAATTCATTTTTCAATAACTGATTTATTAATTATTAACTAATAATAATAATTAATAACTCATTTCTGATATCGGATTCGGATTCCCCACCCCCAGTTACCCTCTGGTCAAGCTTTAAAGTCGTTTGCGTTTTGGGTTTTACTCAATACATTAGCACAGTTTAGTGTCTTGGGAGCGTTCCGGACAGAAGGACAGACAGACAGAAGGACGGACAGATATGTCTTGGCTATTCTTATGTATATATTATTATTATTATTCTAGTTAGTTGGTACAGCAATGCGTTTTTTATCAACATTAGCTGCTCGATCTCATCATTGTGCAATGTTTCAAGGTGATGAAACTTTGAAAACGGTTTGTGAACAAGTCATATTACCAAATTTATTTTTGAGAGGTAAATATTTATTCTTGTATTATGTTACTTCATCCATCTATTTTTTTTATTCAATTTTCTAGAGGCAGATATAGAAGAATTTGAAGATAATCCAGAAGAATATATTCGTAAAGATATTGAAAAATCAGGTATAATCTAAAAGTGTAAATATATTATTTTTGTTCTTTTTAATGTAAACTTGTTTATTTTAGATTTTGCTACTCGTCGTCGTGCTGCCGGTGATTTTTTACAAGCATTATGTATATTTTTTGAACCACAAGTTGTTGCTCTCTATAGTCAGTATATTGATTCGATGCTTCAAGTAAGTAGAATGATAAATCAGTTAAAAATCTTAAACAAGACATTGTTTTATTTATTTTTTTTCTATGATTAGGACTATATTCAAAATCCAACAAAAAATTGGACAAAAAAAGATATTTCTATATTCTTAGTATTGGCATTAGCATCAAAAGGTGAAACACAAAAAGTATGTCATCCTTATTTGATTGATAGAAAGAGAATATGTAACTAATGAGAAAAAATAGCTATTCAAATACTGAAAATATTTTATTTTAGTTTGGTATAACAAGAAGTAGTCATTTAATAAGTATTCAAGCATTTTTTATAAGTGCAATTTATCCTGAACTTCAAGATCAAGATGGTATGTATTTAAAAATTTTTTACTGTTCTTATCATATTTTTAATATATATCATTTATATCTAGTGAATCGTTTACCATTAATTAAAGCTGATTGTCTTAAATTTTTTACAATTGTTCGAAATCAACTCGACAATGAATTATTACTACGTACATTGCCAGAATGTGGTCGATATTTATTATCAACAAATATTGTAACACAAACATATGCTGCTCATGCTATTGAACGAGTACTCTTAGTAAAACAAACACAAAATAAACAACAATTAGCGTATGTTTTATTCTATATAGAAGATAATTAAATTTTATTTATGTTCTTCTCATTTATATTTTAGAATAACAAAAACCGATTTGATACCACATGCACAAATGATATTCGATCATCTATTTAAAATATTAAATTCGGATAAGTCGTATGAAAATGAATATGTTATGAGAGGTATGACAAAAAATATTAATTGAAAATAATTCTATGTATACGTTTATATAATTCTATTTGATAATTCAATTATCTTTGTTTTATTTGAGATTTCATAGTTATATTCTTTATTTTTAATTTTTAGCTGTCATGCGTCTATCCTATTCGCTACAAGATGGTATAATGCCATATTTAAATCAATTAATGGAAAAACTTGTTATTATTTTAAAACGAACAAGCAAAGTAACGTATTTACTATTCTCATTTATATTGTATGATTTTAAATTTCATTTCATTTTGTTTTTTAGAATCCAAATAAGCCAAATTTTAATCATTATTTATTTGAAACAATAAGTTTGTTAATTCGAACAAGTTGTACACAAAATCCACAATTAGTTGAACAATTTGAAGGCATTTTATTTCCTGTATTTACGCCCATATTTTCAGAAGATGTTGCTGGTATGTATGAAATAATAAACAATATAAAATATTGATGAAAAAAAAGAAAAATTTAAATCATTTTTTTTGTATTTTTATTTTAGAATTTGTTCCGTATGTGTTACAAATAATTGGCTTTCTTCTTGAATCTCGTACACCATCGACTCAAACAAATCCAACAACGATTCCCGATTCTTATCGTGTTTTATTTCCATTAATATTGACACCCTCTTTTTGGGATCGTTCGGGAAATATTCCGGCACTATCACGTCTATTACAAGCTTATATACAAAAGGCGGGTGAAACAATTGTTGTCGAAAAAATAGTAGGTGTTTTGTTTTTAACTTATTTGTCTTTATCATCGATGTTCTTTTGTTTATTTTTATTTTTTTGTAATTTTAGACAACTGTACTCGGTGTATTTCAACGTTTAGTCGATCAATCAAAACTACATGATCAGGAAGGTTTTCACATCTTACAATCATTAATCATTCACGTACCCCAATCATATCTGACAAATTATTTTCGAGATATATTTATTCTCATATTCACAAGATTAACAAGAGCTAAAACACAAAAATTAATCAAATGTAAGTAGAACAAGAAATATATTAATTTTAATATTATTAAATAAATTATCAAGTCTATGTTTACTTTTTACGTGGGGAAACTCATTTTTTGATTTAAACAAACATTGACGATTCATATTATGGAGAAAATTTTTTTCTTTTTCTATTTAGGTATTATTGTTTTATTTTGTTATTTTATTGCAAAATATGGTGCACAAGAGCTGATTACGTTGATTGATAGTATTCAACAAAAGTATAGATTCTAGAACTTTATGTTAAATGATAATATTAGATTTTTGTTTTCCTTATTTTCTAGCATGTTTTCAATGGTTTGCGAACGTTTATTTATACCACATTTAGATAAAGTTGATCGTGAAGATAAAAAAATATGTGCTATCGGTATGACACGATTATTAACCGAAGCACAAGCAATCACACAAGGACCATATATGAATTTATGGTATGTAGTGATGGCCTCTACCTGAATTTTCGATTGTTTTTAATCAGCGTGGGAAGACTTTTCTAGCAGACAATGTTTTCTAAAGAAGTCAAATATTTGTGTAATATTTGACAGATAGACAGAATTTAAAAGGCTGTTTTGACAGTCAGCTCATCGGTTTTAAGTATTCTAAACTAACTGCTTATAATAGTTCTCAGTTTCTTAGAGTCTATTAGGTCAATTATTTACGTTAATCGTGACATCTGTTGTGCTTCTGACAAATTTTTGGCAAAAACCCGGGAGGCAGGAACAAAAGTTAGATTAAAGAGATCTTCTGCCTCGAAAGTTTAGTCTCTATGAATTTTCTTTTTATAACATTTTATGTATAGGGTTTCATTGTTACAGTCGTTAATACGACTATTTGAAGTTAAACACGAAATAACACAAGATAATGAAACAGAAATTGCTGATATAATGGTTGCTTTGGAGGACACACCAGGTATTTCTGTTAAATATGAACATGTTATGACCTTTATATCTGATGTTTCTTTTTTATTTAGATTATACTCCAGCATTTTCTCGTCTAGCATTTGCAAAAAAATCCAACATTGATCTATTTGGTTCCGAAATTCCAGATCCACGTGTCTATTTAGCAAAATGTCTGTCAATCTTAACAGCGGCTAATCCAACCAAAGTAAGTTCAATCCAATGTTGTCACAGTATCATGTTTTACCTCTTTATTCTTTGTAGTTTACAACAATGATGTCAAACGGTCTTGTTGCTAGTGAACAACAATCAATACAAAATCACTGCTTATTAGCAAATGTGGTATTGACTTAATGAATTGAAATAGAACATTTATTTTTATTATTAGACAATTTTTCGATTCTTTCTCTTCTACTTCTTTCGTTTTTTCTATGTAACTTTTTTTTCTTTTCTCATAAGTGTGTGTATATTCTTGTCAGTTTGCGCTCTATATTTTTTTGTTGTTATCATTTTTTTTTTATTGACAAAGATAGCTGAGAATAACGAAGATATATACTGTTGTGTGAACAACGGATGTGCTGATTAGTCTTGCACGATAAACTTTTGAAATAAAATGAATATCAGTCAGATTTTATAATCAAAAAACTTATTTTAATGAAATATTGCTTCAAAGTTAAACAAAAAAAACATATACGAAATAGTATTTGATAAGACACTTTTGTATATAGTTATCATTTGTTTTTAATTCATATATATATATACTCATCATACTTAGATATATCTTAACTAAATGTTGCTGGTCAATATATATTTCTGAAAGAGTTATGCTTTTGTTTAGATTTGATTGTGCACTATGTATGAGATAATAAATCTGGATCTGATTTTCAATTTTGTCTATCATGATAATTGTGTTGTGAATTCGGATTTTGATCCTGCATAATTATACGCAATATGAAACGTTAAATAGAACATTTACTTTGCACAATATTTATGTTATTTTGAAAATACGACAACTTAAAGACCTTTGAGTAAGTTCAGTTTTATATTTAACTCTCTATGAACTAAAAGTATGTTTAAAACTCGACTGCACTATCATATGGTAAAGTTTAGTGTAGATTGAGTCATGTTTCATGTCTGCTGCAAAAGAGTTCATTTGTCAAGAAAAACAGACAGAATGAGTAATAAACCACTAGTACAGCAAATTTTTCTCTTGAGATTTGCTACTCATGGGAATAAACACATCATTTTTTCTTAATAAATTGAATTATGAAAGCAGCTTAAATATTAATCATACTAGAAAATGCAAATAAAATAATACTATGAGTTCTGGAATCTCTCATTTTCTAGGAAAATATTCACTCTTAAAAAAAACCTTTTGTCTCTTTCTTTATTTTCGAATTATGTATTTTTTCGTAAAGATTAAAAAACCCGTGTCTAATCTCGTAATACAATGCCAGGATCATAATTATTCTATGATATTTAGAGTCAAAATTCTTCTAATAGTATTCTTTAACATTGCTGATCTCAAGAATGACATTATTAAATTTAGAAGTAAGATATATAGAGAGAGACATACCAAATTAGATATAGTGGTAAAAGCATTGATTTTACGTACAATAAGTGCGGACATATCGATAAATGTACGAGTTTCATTGAGTTTTTGTAGAAGATGTTTCCGGTTCATTTTAGTACTTCCATTATCTACTTCTTTTGTTTTTATTATAAAATAGAACACGTTAAAATATATTTTTAGTATTGTCCAATAGCAGAAACTTCAAATGGCTAATTCATCTAACACATTGGATATTAAAGAGAAATCGATTCATAACTCAAATTTATCATTGAATAGCAATCATTCTCGTATGAATGTAAATTTACAGACACCAGCACTATCTAAGCTATCTTCGAACAAATATAATTTCTTCACAAGAATCGGTCATTATTTCCGATCGTTGTACAAGCGTTTCAAAAGTTCACACACACAATTAACAGAAATTGATATACAAATTTTAATCTCATTAACACCTTATACAAGGGAACAAATACAAGAATGGTAAATAATTCCTATTACAAACATACTTAGTACATTTTTTATGTTCATTACTTTTTAGGCACAAAAGATTTTTATGCGATTGTCCAAACGGTTTCAGGTCTCGTAAACAATTTATTCAAACATATCGACAATTATTTCCAAAAGGTGATGCTGAAAGATTTACTAAACATGTTTATCGTGCATGTGATCTTGATAAATCTGGTCAAGTGGATTTTCGTGAATTTCTCATTGGATTAGGTATGACAAGTGCAAATGCAACACCAAAACAAAAATTAGAATGGACATTTAAAGTATTTGATATCGATGGAAATGGCTATTTAACACGTGAGTTTGGATAGGCGTAGAAAAAATATTTTCATCTTATTACTAATTAACACACACACACACTCTCTCTCTTTCTCTCATAGGTAAAGAATGTTGTGAAGTCATCGAAGCTATTGTAGGATTGACTTCAAATGATGAACGTGTGGAGGAGTTAGCTAAACAACGAATGATGAAAACATTTGATGAAATAGATGAAAAAAATCGTGGTCAATTAACAATGAATCAGTTTATTCGAGGCTGTGAAAAAGATCCACTTATATTAAATTTATTATTACCCTCTGAAACGACTATGCCTTCCATCACAAACACTTCTTCCATTTTCTGAACAGTAAAATGTATGCATTCCTTCTCTTTTTACTTAATTGTTTTTTCTCATTTAAATGAGCGTATTTTCTTTTTCGGTTTACTTTGTCTTCCGTATAGTGTACTGTATCTGTTTTTTCATCCTTTTTGTCACATCGGAATGAAAACAAAGATAAGTAAGAAAGAAAACGTTTCTCCAAAATGAATAGAATTTACTTTGCCATTACATTTTAGTTGTCAAAGTATTCAAAAACATTAAAATTACGAAAACAGGATTTTTTTTCTTCCGATGACTCAAACAGGACCTAATCTAATATAGATCGTATTAAAAGATGTATCTACTACTACTTTTTCATGCAACATGTGTCTTTCTAAATGATTCTTTTTACTATACAGAACAACAATATATTTACATTAGAAAATTCTGACTAAACAACAAAAACAATAGAATATCAAATTTCAGATGGTACTGTTGATAGTGACGATGATTCAATATCATTTTCATTTTCATCCTCATCATTATTACTAAATATTTTTGATGTTAGATCACTGATTTGATCAAAATCACCATCACTATCGTTCAGATCGATTGCATGGTGATTATTATTATAACAATGATTTGAAAATGGAATAATAATAACGGGTGATTGCGACGGATGAGATTCACCCGTATTATTAGTGGCTGCCTCTTCATTTATCAAGGTTGGTAAACTGTTATAGAGTGTAGTCGATTTTTTATCGGTCTGATAGATGAATCCACCAACAGTCGGATTTGACGAATATTTTTGAACTTGTTTAATAACAGCTGTTATACATCCACCACTTGAAGATAATGTTGAATCAGCATCATAGATTGTTGCACGTGATGAACTAGATGGAGAAGAATCTCGTGTAGTGATAATATTATTCAAATAGGTTGGTTGAGTTTGAGAAGGAACTAATTTTCGTTTCATTTCGGCATAGGTCGACGTTCGATTTGGATAGTGTTGATAGGAATTAAAATCATTTAAAATGGTAGTGTGTGTTGTAGTCATGGATGGAGAGACAAATAACGGTTGTTTTAAACGTAATTTTGTATTTTGATCATGTTGAGTGTTTAACAATCGTTGAGGTGTTTCTAAAACAGGTACAATAGCTGTTTCCAAATAAAAATTGGCGTGCACATTGCCAGAATTGACTGATGAAATGCTAAAAAATAGAGATGATAACAAATAGTAATGAATTGTGTTCATATACACGGACAATAGATGTAATTTTACCTTCCATGAATGTTAAATTGTTGAATACTCATGAGTAATTTTGTTAATTTTTGTAAAAGATCAATAGAGAATACCAAACGACTATGTACAGTAATATTTTCCAATTCTCGCATTAATTGTTGAGATGTTTGTTTTAAATCACTAGATAAAATGAAAATTAAAGAAAATATCAGATTTAGTAATAAAATATTCTAATTTCATTGATATTTAGTTGATACTTACTTGATATATTGCCTGTATTGTTGTATTTCTTTCGACTTTTCAATATTAGATATTTCAATCGTATTATTTCGTTTATGAGCATAGCCTAGATCTTCATATAAATGATAAACTTTATTTTTTAATGTAATTAAATGTTCACGTAATAAAAAATGAGTATCAGAATTTATTTTTGTCAATGATGTGCGACTATTGCGAGATGATCGAAGATCCTATATTAAAAAGAAATATATATAAATTGTAAGAATTACAGTTGATCACATGTTAACAACGTACTAATTGTGTCCAACGTTCAATTAATTGCATATTCTCTTTTTCTAATATAGATAATTTTTCTTGTAATGTTTCGCATTTTGATTTGATCTCTTGATTAGAAAATAATAAATTTGTCAATTGTGTTTGACTCAGTTCAAGTTTCTTTTGAAGATGATGACCTAGGAGAACAAAGAAATAGCGTAGTCAATATTTATTAATGACAAGAAAACACGTTGTTATATTTACATTGTGCTTTGGCCAATTGCTCACTTTCTCCAGTATTTCGTTGATTTACTTCATGTTCACGGATACTGGCATTTGCTGTGCGTAATTGTCTATAAAAACAATACAATGACGCGAAATAAAAATTATCATCACAAAAAAGCAACAATCATTTTATTGGGACAAGGATCTTTGAGAGAAAGGAATTAGGGCTAAAACGAGAACGGAAAAAATAACGTTCTCTTTTCAGTCTTCTGCAAAAAACTTCGAAACACGTTCTCTAAACAGCGTAAAAATTTAATCATTCTCACTCCGTTCTTCATTCAGTCCAAACTCTGTTCTCTTTTCATACTTTATCCATTTTATTGCCTTATTACAAGAAACGGTAGTGTGCTATTTTTACCTTCTTAAATCGACAATTTCATTTCGAAGAGGTTGTAATGCCATTTGTAGATCAATATCAATGCCTTGATCATCTGTATAGGTTAACGCAAATGCTAAAGATTGTTCAAGTTGTTCCCATAGTCTTAACATATCTTTATCTGAACGTAAATTTAATAAATATAAAATTAAGCTGTATTCTAATATGTTACTTCTTCTATGTTCTCACCTTGTTTCTCTCCTCCTACACGTAATTTTAATTCTTTTGAAATTTGTTTCACATTTATTAGATGTGCAATGATTTCATGAACAAGTAATTTTGTACGATAAACAGACATATTTGACATATATTTTGACTTTAATGATAAGGAAAGAGAACTATGTGCCGTTTGTTGATGATCTTGTCGAGGTATGTCACCACATGATGAACTTCGATAAAGTATATTTTCTCTTGTTTGATATAAACGTTGATTTATCGGTGATGTACGACGATTATTCTTTTCGTTTACTAATGAAGATGTTAATGATGATAACAAATTACGACGAGTTGTATTTGCTTGATTTATTTCATAACCAGAAGAAGCAACAGTAGCCATGTTAACACCGCTTGTTCGATGAACAGAGTCATGGACGCCATCTAAGGTATTTGGTGCGTTATTAACAACTGTTCGACGAGATTTTCCAGGACTACGAATTTTCAAATCCTAAAATAGACGTATACTATTAGTTATTCAGTTGAATAAAGATAAGTTATATTACGCACAGCTATGTTTACCGAAATGCCAATGTTTAGGATATCATCGCTTAGTTTAACATAAAACTAAGATTTTTTTTGAGTGTTACTCAGATGGGTAACTACGTAAGCATTAGAATTATGAGAAAGGGTACTCTCTTATAGTTTTTAATAATACAAACCTCTGTTTTAACTGAATTATATTCTCGTGTTGATGTTGTGTAAGAATATGGTGATCGTCGTTCTTCGCTTGTAGCTAAAAGAGCAATGAATTTAACAAATCGTGCTTTCCTTATTAAAATGATTTGTAGTAAAATATACTTGATTTATTTGGAGATTTTTGTAAAACATTTGATGGGGTCGATTTTTGATTAACTTTTTTACGTTGACGTACTTTTGAATCAACGTTGTTTGATTTTGAACTTCGACGTAATTCTATAAAATAATAATAAACGATAGATACGACATTTTCTCACTGATACTTTTTTTTTTTATTGCAAATTAGGATACAAGCGTATTATGAATAATCTCAGTTTGGATAGTTTTGTATATTGCCTATTTTCTCAGAAAATCACTATTTGAGAGTAATTATCTCAAAGTTTTTCCGAACAGAATAGTTCGTTTTTACTCTACTGCTTATGATTTTCTCTAACTCGGTATACACTGAAAATAGTCGTAGTGTTTCATAAAACTAAAAGAAATATTTAGCTTTCGAATAGTAATTTAGTTTGATACGGTCATTGTGTGATTTATGTTTTATTTATAAGAAATTTTTTACAATTTATAAACCCAACTTTGGTCTCAATTGTTTTATACTCAATACACTCACCCTCATACACTTCATGATATAAAGCACATAAAGGATGACTGTTCAATATGACTGTTTGCTTTTTACACATATTATTTTTGTGTTATTTTAAGACAACTGAACAATATACCCATAAATTTTAATGTAAAACAAACAAAGATTAAATAATCCATCTATTCATACCTTGTACACTTAAAATATTTCTCAATAATTCGGCACACTTGTCAAATTCTTTATTAGTTTTTTGAACAAGTGTTCGAGGCATACATTTAACAACACGTTTCGTTTGCACTTCATTCTAAACATGAGAACATAAACTAGATGAACAAAAAAATTTGTGAACAATAATAATCACAATACTTTAGATATACAATCAACAAAAATGAATTATTGATAGATCTCTTTTGATTGTTTAAAGATGAAAAACTAAAATTCGAGAGATTCGATTCAAATTGTATAATAAAGATATAGTTTCAGTTACAAAAAGAAACCCTTTAAAATGTGACTTTATAACTGCAGAGATCATGACATATTTACTTAACATACAATTATTCCAAAAGTTGTCAAAAACCAAGATTGATAGGTCACTATTATTATTAATCTAATAAGTAAATATCTTCCTTATGTGTCTTTAATCATAGTCAAAATCTACTTATTCAAATCAATATAGACCACTTTTCTTACTTTTTTATTGTTGTAGATCTAATCATCATTCACTTTTTTCTTTCTCTCTCTCTTGTTCATTTAGATAGTTGAGCGAATATTTTGTCTATTACGTGTTTATTTCCCACTTTTTAAACATTAGAACATATAGTGACAAGAATAGAAAATAAAAATAAAAAAAGAAGAAAGAAATAATCACGAACGAACGGATGTGCACAAAATAGTGTTCACGAATATTATTATTGTTTCTCACATCAATCATTTAGATTTTTTACTCTTTTTATTAAATCAAAATACACACACACACACACACACACCGAATTAAATGAGAAAAAAGAAATGTTTTACCTGGAAATAAAGCCGATATAACAGTTTTTCTTTTCTGAGATAGAGAGAAAGTATTGCTAAATAAATTTGATGAAGTAGCTTTTGATCCTTATAGAATGAAATAAATAAACGTGTTTTTCGATATACACAAATGGAAGTTGTACTGAATATCCTCGAGATCGGTAAAGTGGATTAATCGAAGGATTACTAACTATATGGTTGACAGCAATAGATTCTCTTGTACATTCAGTAATAATATTCTTAATCCTATCATCAAGTTTCTCAAAATTTAATTATTTCTAATAGGAATCTGGTATCAGATACTGCGAACGGTCGATTTCAGAATTATCTCATTGAAATATGTTTAACAAAAATATAATTTTTATTATTGACAAAACGAAACTTGAGTTCACAATATTATTAAAAAATAACAAAACGAGATTTTAAAATAAATTTATTACTTTTAGCTAAATAAATATCATTTCAAAATTTCCTAGCCCATTTGGAACGACTATCAAACTTTAAACATTCTCAGTAAATCATCTATTTATTCATAAGTTTTGATATAATTGAGAAAAGGACTATATTCCGGTATAGCTCTATAAATTTTTTGTATTGCATGAAAAAGAAAAAGAAGAGTACTTTTATTTCATCGAATCTACAAAAGATTTAAAGTGAATAAAACATGATAAAGAAAATAGATCTAGATGTCAAAAGAACGAAGGATAACAAATTAGAGGATCAAATACTGTTCATGACTTTGTTTTTTTTTGTAGAAAGTGGTCATAATTACAAGTCTAATAGTTTTCAATGAATAACAGATTACGTATTAATCGGACTTGTTTCATAGATAGAAGTTGAAAAAATCTTACTTTTGTTTTTTCAATATTTGGCGTTGAATAAGCTCGATTTAGTTTTGTACTACTTGTATTCATATTTAAATGTAGTAACTAAAAGAAGTTGAATATCTCTCTCACTTTTATTTTATATCGAATTCATAAATAATTTAGAAACTAATAATAATAATAATGAAATATCGATATTATATTGTTGTTGATAAAACGAAAAATTAACATTTAACACAAAAATATGAAATAAGAAAAAAAAAGAAATCTATTTTAATTGTAATCGGACAGGTTTAACAAGAAAATATAAAGTAGCCTAAAATTAGAGAAACTTTTTTTTTTCTCTTAATTTCATCTGATATATCTAGAGAGAGAAATAGAAAAAAAAAGAAAGAAAACAAAAATGTCTATCTTTCAAGCATTTCTTCTAATAAAGAACTGACGATTTTTTTATATCGTTTTATGGTAAAGTTCTCGTTTGTTCCAGGTAAAATCCACTCTATTGTCGTTTTTTGAACGTTTTTTCTTTTTTTTTTTTTTTTGGTTGAACAGAGAGCTCTGCTTTTTATTGTTTTCTAACCCTCGTTTCACTTAAAATTTATTTTTGTAAATTCTTTCTCCTTTTTCTGTAACTTAAATAATTCATTTTGTTCGACAGTGTATAATATCAGAAAGAACAAAGAAGAAGAAGACGAAAAAAAAGACTTTTTGCTTCCTTATCAGTTTCACCGTATTCCAAACACATTACACCATAGTACATGTATCTCACTACAAAAATTTTGAAAAAAAATATTCAAATTTTCATTTAAATAGGCACAATTGACCGTAGTCTTAAATTGAACAATGAATAGCGTTAAAAGGAGAAAAAAGAAACTGAGGAGGTTGCATTTGTTCAATTAATTAATGAAAATGAAATTCAAGTAGAAAGAAAAACTCAAATAACCGTAATTTATTATTATAGAAGAGTTGATGAAAAGCGAAGAAAAATGAATAATTAATTTGTTGGGTTTGCAAAGTCTTAACAGATGACAGTCTGTGAGTGTTGACTCTAACAATATTTTTTAGCGATAGCCGAGTAGAATAATAGTGTTTCTATTAGAAATGTCTATTTTGTGTACTAGAAAACTGTTCATAGGTATCAAGGAATAAGAGATAAGCAAGTTCATAGAATAAAACGAATTGGTCAAAACAAATCCTCTTTTTCAATGAGAAATTTTATGAAATATTTCAGTCAATGATTGATAATACTTTTTTTTGAACTATTAATCAAAGGAGAAGACACTTTATATCTTTTTCAATCTGTTCTTTTGACATACGAGACTTTAAGAAAGACATTACAAAATGAATAGTTTTAATCATTGAAATACAAAAATTTGTTTAATAAAGAATTTCGACATTTGCCTTTAGTCAGAAATACGTGACAAAATAAAGAAGATTGAGTATTGTTTGTTAGGGCTGGTCTACCAACATCATTGGTAGAGAAGTATCGACATTTTTAGTTTAGTTTGATCAGGACCGTTCATTTCCTACTTTTGATAATCGGCTAACGGTAATAAAGTAATTCGAATACAGTGCGTTAAAAATGTCGATGCCTGCCTAACAATCCCTAGTTGACTCTCTCTGATGAAATCCCGGGCGAGCCTCTGGGGAGTCACTATTTTCCATGAATTCTCTAGGGATTCTTTTTCAAGGATTCTTTATGAAGGATTTTGCGCTTTTCGGGGAATTAGGAGAATGAATGGTAGTCCCTAGGGAGTTCTCAGAGATTTCTAGGGATGTGTATTATGGAAAGTGCATAAAAGTTTTGATTTATTTCAAATATTAGATCTATTATAATGAGCTCAGCTCTCAGCCGATATGGACGCTACCGTTATTAATTTACTTCATTCAGAGAGAGTAAAATCAAGAAACAAACGGTTGATGCTGTCTTATCAAATTTTACCGTTATCCGGCTAAAAATTTTCGGCTTCCAGCTTAGAAATGCGGCGAAGCACTTGCGAGATCTCTGTTAAAGATGGAGAGTAACTTCTGAACGACGAAATACGTTCTTTTTATTCTTTTTCAGCGAGAGTTGAATGAATACAATGAAAACTTGGATTTTTTCGCGAAAGGAGGCACGCTGCTGGATTTTCAAACGTTCTTATTCTTTTTCTGTTTTCGAAAAGCTGTTTATTTATCTCCGGTACGGAAGTACTGTCAAAATTTTTCTCTAATTCATTCCTGAATTCTTCTGCAGCATGCTTTACGCTACCGAAGACCAAAACTGAGGAGAAGAATGAGCCATGAAAGGGGAACACAGTATAACTAGGCTATTTTGCGAAAAACTGCCTGAGGCGCAGTGGACATTTTTCTAATAGCAGACGGACATCAGAATTTTTTGCTCATAAACCACTTTTTCATGATTAATTATCATTTCTTAGTCATATCTGATAATTTATAGAAGAAATAAACGTTTTCATAAAAGAATCACTTTTTTCAAAAAATCGGTCTTATAAGTTCATAGGAAAAAGTTCAATAGATAGTTTTCGATCCAAAGTTTATTGCATTACACGTGAGTTGATACAATCGGCACACTGATTTTAAATATGATCTTATTTTTTCTTAAAAGTGTTCACTGGCTGAGAAAAATACATTTTATCTGGAAAACCTATATCTCGGCACAGGAACAAATGCACATTTTTGCATATATAGTAGTATACATGCAGTACACACAAGGAAACATTCTGATATATTTTTGAATCGGATGAAACTTAAGCATGCATCAGTTAAAAACTAGTATTAGGGCTTCCACGAAAATTGTTATAAATCGTCTGTAAAGAATTATTCAGAGTCGCGAAACGTCTAATTTTGTAGAGAAAATTCAGCTGTGAAAAAAGATATGAAGTTATTTCTAACCAAAATGTAAGCGTTCTAAAATGCACTAAAGTTAGAAAACAAACCTTGAACAGTTGTTTGAACAGTTTCTTCCTGAATTTAGTATATTGTAGAATGCTCACATTTGTATCATAGATAACTTCAAAATTATTGTACTTATATGGGTTTGTAGCCCAAATATTTCTCTACAAAATGAGACGTTCCGCGACTCTGAATAATTCTTCATAGGCGGTATATAACAATTTTTGTAGAAGCCCAACACCAATTTTTAACTGGTACATACCTAATTAAACTTTAGTAAAATTTGGAAGCTCGTCACATTGAACATACCTTTAGGGAAAGTAAATTAATCCGGAAAATAATTCTATTTCTTGGACAGCTTCAGCCTATAACGACCAATTTCCTTCTTATCAGGCAGCCGAGAGAGTCCAGTTTCAGAATCTGTGTCATTTTGGTTATATTTCTTTTGAATGTAGAAAAACGTTTTTCAGTCTTATGAACCATATTTTCAGACTAACTTTCAGCTACATGTTGTCTAACAATGCTTAATAATTCGAGAGTCGGCTGGGGATGATGTTGATGTTTAAAAAGCTTTCCAGTTCAATTTATGTTAAGGCTACCTATGAGACTTAGTTTAAAACGTGTTGTAATTTATGCACAAAACTCGCTGTAAACGTAGTACGAACCCCGTAAAATTGCCAAAAATCACTTTTTCATTATCGACAATAATGACTAAGGAAAAAAAAGTCCGGATATATCCGATTATGTTTGATAGTAAAATAGCGAGATAAGACGAACTATATCTCCGAACTAATCTAGTTGAAATATGTTTTGAAACAGATCAGTCGCTTACAAGTAAAGAAACTATTTTCTAGGACTTCGTTTCTTCGACTTTTTAATGATATTTATTCTCTACACAACTCATAAAATATTTAAAAGAACTATATACGTAGAAACAGTCGTTAACAAATAGTTCAAAATTATCAAAAGTGTTCACTTCATTTTATAACAATCTTTTTTCCTTTTTTTCTAAACATAACACCTTGTTGGCCAACAAAAGTATTTTATGAAACAATAAGAGAAGAATGTCATTCTAAACTTTAATTGTCCTTAGTTGTTCTTCTAAAGCCAGACTAAGTGGTGTTGTATCTAGGCATGCACCAGTTTTTAACTGGTGTTGGGGCATCCAGGAGAATTGCTACAAATCAGTTATCACGATTCTCTCAGAGCTGTAAAACATCTAATTTTGTAGAAAAATGTTTGCTCTACAAAATGCATTTGTTAAAAGAATTT